TCTGAGCGTGAAAATGAAGTCGACAAAGGCACCAAACACGGTCTCAAAAAACATCGGAACCCACTGAGTTTTCCATGTTTAAGTTGGTGAATTTTGCCATAATCCTTTCCTTCAGTTCATTCTTGTTTTTAGAAGGACTTTTTTGGCCTCTCGCGCAAATGTGCCCCACACATAATAATCAAGGCTGTTCCAGACTGGGAAGTTAGTTGGCCAGATGTATGGTATGATGAGGTCGCAGAAATTGTCTGACAGCCATGACTAGATTCTCCTGCTTGTGTGTCTCGGAGCAATGTTTTGTTGCCAGTCGTAGGAGCTTCCAGTAGTCACCCTCTTGACTCATGGCAGCGCTATCTCATCAATGGGCTTGATGTAGGCCACCGTGTCATCATCACTAGTAATCATCCCAAACATCTTCGTAATAAAAAGGAAACGTTTATCATTCTAATGTAAATCAGGGGAAGAAATACAGACTGAAAAATATTGGAACATTATTTTCATTTTCACAAATCAATTTTTAACTTATTTTAATTAATAGACTATTATGAATAGATTTTTACAATTTTAACCTCGATATAATGTATCAATAGGTAGCTACAATTCAACAGTTCAGTCATACATTGACTATTTCCCGTCTTATCTTTTGTCATGAGCAGAAAATGACACCGAAACGAATGTCAATGTTCTTTTTAGATACAGCGTTTCTTCTGCTTCTTAAATTTTCCAAATGTGCCTGAAGCGGTACAAGTCAGTTTACTTTCAAAGGCCACGAATTTCTCGCTGTTCGTGGCAAAGTAAAATGTATGCTAATGTTAAACCAGGGGCTTTTAGCCACCATATCGAATCCGAACATCTTAGAGAGACGGAGGCACTTTTCAGTACATCTTTTATTCCTTTCTGTTTTTTATCGTTTTAACAAAGAAGTTATTTCCAAGTTTTATAAACCCGCAGCAAGAATGAGAAAATGTGTGGTGATCTCAGGCCACGAGTTGGTTGATGCTTTCAATTAAAATTTTATTTTATTTTTTTTTCTTGTGAACACCACCATGTCTTTCTTAATTATATTCCTTTATCATACTGGGCACGTATTATTCAGAAGGAATATAATGAGTGTGGGAGTGGAAGTCCTTCTGAAATGTAAGAGAGTTATGTGGTAGTTGTTCAAAACTTGAATGAAACCAAAGCTGAAAGTGAAAGAACAAAAGGAAACAAATAAAAGTTAACTGAAAAAGAAAAAGACACAAAGTTATGTTACAAAGAGAAAAACCGAAAAAGAAAGAAGATAAACTTCAAAATAATTCCAGAAAGAAAGAAAGAAGAAAATAATGAAAGAAAACTAAAAAATAATCTATAAAGAATGAATGAAAAAAAGCAGGAAAAAGGAAGAAAAAAAAAGAAATAATATGGTAAAATAAGTTTAAAAAAACAGAACTAAATAGTAATCTGAGAAAGAAAGAAAGAAAGAAAGAAAGAAAGAAAGAAAGAAAGAAAGGAAGAAAGATAAAATGCCTAAGGGCAATCGAAGAAAGAAAACAGAAAAAGAAGATGCGGCAGAAAGAAAGAAAGAAAGAAAGAAAGAAAGAAAGAAAGAAAACGGAAAATTAAATGAGAAAGAAATGTTAACTAAAAAGAATACAAGATAGAAAGGGAGAAAAATAGTAAGAAAGAATGCTGTAAAATAGGCCGAAAGAGAAAAAAACACGAAAACTAAATATAAACTAAGGAAAGAGAGAATGAGTGAATGAAAGAGTGAGAGAGAGAGAGAGATAACACCTGATAAAAAATGAAAGAAAGAAAGAAAACGGAAAAATAAATAGAAAAGAAAGTTAAATGAAATATAATCCACGAGAAGAAGAAAGAAATAAGAAAAGGATGAAAGAAAACTGAAAAATAAGTTTAAAACAAACAGAGAAAACTGCAGATTAAGAAATAAAGAACCAAACAAAAAAAATTAAAAACAAGCTAAAAGAAAGAAAGAAAGAAAGAAAGAAAGAAAGAAAGAAAGAAAGAAAGAACCCGGAAAAATAAGTTAAAAAAGAAAAAAAAAGAAAATCGCAGATTAAGAAATAAAGGAAGTTATGAGAAAGAAAGAATGAAAACTTTAAAATAAACTAAGGTAAAGCACGAACGCAAGAAAGAAAGAAAAGAAAGAAAGAAAGAAAAGAAAGAAAGAAAGAAAAGAAAGAACGAAAGAAAGAAAGAAAGAAAGAAAGAAAGAAAGAAAAAAGAAATACAGAAAACAAATAAATAAAAAAGAAGGAAAGAAAGCTACGAGAAAGAATGAAAACTTTAAAATAAACTAGGTTAAAATACGAACGCATGAAGGAACGACCGAACGAAAGAAAGAAAGAAAGAAAGAAAGAAAGAAAGAAAGAAAGAAAGAAAGAAAGAAAGAAAGAAGATAAACAATACTAATCCATGAAATAAAATAAAACAAAACAAGAAAAAGAAATACTAATACCACAAGCTCTTTTGGTTGTTGGAGTTACTTAAAGGAAGCCATTCGTCTGTTTTTCCAAAATGCAATTAAGCATCTATTTTAAGTTGCTACCCTTTTGACGCTCCATCAATTTTATGAAAGCAGGAAGAAAATGAAGATTTTTAGCGTTTATAGCAAAGCAACTAATTAAAGTTTATAAGGAATTCAATTCCTCCTTTCAAAGAAGAGAAAATCTTGGCCTCGTGGGTGTGTTAATACAAAACTGCTAAATAAATAGATTCTAAATTCTGGCTTCACTTACTTATATTTTTCGACTTTATCTGCTTATTGGTGTTTTGTGAAAAAGGCGCTACTAGCAGGTTATAAACAAGCAATTTTCTTCAGTTATCTCCCCTGGACAAAATAAATTGGAAACTTTTTTTTTTTTTGTGGCAAAATGCCGTATAACTATGGTTAGTATTCAAAGCCCATAAGCTATTGCTAGTGAAATTAATCCTACTTCATCAACGTTATCTTGTGCCAAATTTGGCTTCCCACAGTATATATCTATCCGTTTTGTTTAGGAATGATTAGTTTTCGTTGGACCGCATGTTTGACGATTCTTAGCAATGACTGTTAATGTTTGACGTTATTACCCAACAAATGAGGCGTGAAATTAAGTAACACGGTGTTTCAAGTTCCAACACGGTGAACTTTTCAAAATAATTATTTGCAAAATCTGGACATAAAGAGAACACTTTTCTTTGCTATAAAAATTCAGTCGACATTTTCAATGGTTGCTGTGACAGAGATACTATTCCCAGCTTACTTGCATGTGTGACTTATATACAGAGTGGCAATAAACTCACTATAAAGTTACTTACAATAACAATTAAGACGAAACAATTAATCAACAGTCTAGAAATTTATTATTAAAATGGTTCTGGTTAATAACAATAAAATGCTATGGTAAACCATAGTAAATGAATTACCGATATTGCTCGAACAAGCAACCTGATTCAATACTTTGCTTTTTTATTATAAGTAACTGTATAGTGACTTTATTACCACGTTGTATATACATGCAATAATGTCACTATAAAGTTATTTACAATAACAATTAAGACAAAGCAATTAATCAACAGTCTAGAAATTTATTATTAAAATGGCTCTAGTTAATTCTGGTTAATAACAATAAATTGATATGGTAAAAAAATAGTAAATGAATGACCGATACTGCTCGAGTAACAAGCAACCTGATTCTATGCTTTTTTTTATTATAAGTAACTGTATAATTATTTTATTACCACACTTTATATACATTTTTAAAATGATTTTTTAATCTTATATTATTTATTTACACTTTATATTCGGACTATTGTCTTCATCTGTTGTTTTTATCTCAATGTTTCGGGCATCGTGCTCTCTAGCCTTCTTCAGGTATATATCAATCTGGGTAATCTACAGGGAATTCTGAACCTTTTATATAATCTATGGGTGTTCTCGTTCGACTTCCCATGTCTAAGGATAACGTATAGTTCTTATTTTTAGTACTTCTCAGTTATTGTTCACCTGTTTCTTTGGGGTTTTTTTTATTTTATTTTATGATGTTCAACATGTACAAGGTCCGTGATCCACTCGATGCAGTTGGTTATAGATTTAGACGAATAGCTTATGCGGATATATGAAGAAGATAACGATTAACCCTCGTCTTGAACAGATTAGAGATTTTAGCGATCGTGGAAGCATTCAGTTGGGAGAAGGTTCCGCAGCGTATCGGCTCGTAGGAAGAAGCTTCTCGAGTCGAACCTACCTCTCAACAATGGAATACGAAGAAAATGTACGTGGCATAGCGGGCCACAATCGTGAAGGTAACAACTGGTGGAACTAAAGAATGTATTTCTTCTGAACACTTTCCATTGAGATAGCGATAGAGGTTGCGGTCTTTCGTCTTTAACAAATGGGTGGAAAATCATTTGCCACCCACAAGAAAGTGTTCGGACAGTATGGAGATTGGGAAATGAAAACTGTAAAGCTCCTGCCCTTATATGACATCAATACTCTACTGAGCAGAAGCTATATTGAATCTCCTCCACAACGGTCTATCAAATCAGCAATTCTGATATAGTCATACTTGTCTACTGTTTGACATTGACCAGTAAGTTTTTGCGTTGACACTCTCCTACGTCCACCTTCAACAGTGCCTTTCATGATGGTCATGCACAGGCAGCCATGCCTTGTAATGTTTTCAAACCACGCCATTTTCCTCCGTCTGACAGTGGCGAGAAGAGGTTCGTGGTGGCCCACAAAACATTCAACCCTTTTCGCACAAACACATCGGTTATATGTTCCCAAATAGATGCCAAGGAGTTTTCTCATGCATTTTTTCTCATACGCTTGGATCTTTCTCTATGATTCTGCCAAGAGTGTCCAAGTTTCACATCCATATAAGAGAATGGAGACTATCAGAGATTTGTACAATCTGTACTTTGTTTGAAACCTATTTTGCTCCTTCATATTTTTTGCCAATTTGGCCATCGTTGCAATGGCTGCGGCAATCCATGTGCGGATTTCCGAGCTGCGGGTACCATCTTTAGACAAGATTGCTTCTAAGTAGTTAAAACTGGACACTTCTTACAGTGAATTCCCGTTCATGGTAATTTTGACAATATATATAATCACGTTCTTGTAAAGTTAACGGATAGAACAAAGAGTCAGGAACTTACTGGAGCAGACAGAAAACCGACCTTTTGAATTATACACTGCGTGCCAAATTATTATCTAGATAACTTTTTTTCTAATATTTCAAAAACCGTCCAATCAATTCACACAAAATTTTCACACAACGTTGGCAATACTGACCTGCGTAATCACTGAATTTTTCGTACTGATCTGCGCAATGTATACAAACTGGCGCCATATTTGTTATCAGCACAGCGATAATAATTTGGCACGCAGTTTATGTATGACTTCAACTTGAGTTCTGGGTTGAGTTCAAGTCCCAATTCTCTCTCAAGGCACGGTGCGTCCCTGAACGGACATCCGTTAATCGTGATTGCTGATAGTCCTGTTCCGATCGGCGATGATGAAATGTTTGGTTTTCAACCCATTGAATGTCACCAGCCACTGACCATGTAAAGTGTTGGAGGCGCACTTATACACACACGTTGTATCATCAGCATAGAAATTTAAAAAAAAATGATCGGGTATACTCTTTATGTAAAAATAGAAAGACGGCTGGACCGAGAAGCGAACTCTAGGACAGGGGTTGGCAAACTACGGCACGCGTGCCATACGCCAAGCAATTTTCAATGGCAAGCAGGCGCAAACGACATCCGAAACAATAACTACACCAAAACAAAGAAGATATTTAGCTGTTTCAATTTTAATATATACTAAAGTATATATACTATATATTACTATATACAGTAGAACAGGTATATTGACCTTGTACAAAAATACGAATGCTGTTGGCACACTGAATGATTTTAAAACCCTAAGTCGGAACATAATTGGGAAAACGTTACGGACACCTGCTCTAGGGGAGAGCTGCATTGAATGTTACGGCCTCGGAAGAGTAGCGGCAAACAAATACCTTGAGGGGCCGGCCCGTTAAGAAGGAATGTATAAGTGAGCGTTTCCACTGCCCGGCACACGAACTGAACTCACAATTACTATGTCACCAAATTTAGGAACCAACGATTTAATTCAATGTACTGTCCCGTAAATAATAAGCGTTCCTCCCATAAATTCAAACAAAAGTTACCGGCATTATTTCTTGATAGTGCAAATGTTATTTATGATGGCAAAATATGCCATTTTTAATTTCTTAAAAAGTGAAATGAAACTTAGATCGATAAGTCCCACTAAAGAAAAAAATGTTTCCGCGACAGGAACGAACCCTTGAAGAATCGAAAATTTGACATCTTTATCCATCAGAGAATTGACGCCTATATCTAGATTTTTAGAGTTTAGCAACTCTTTGCAGCTAGAAAATATTTTAGTATGTAAGAATGTTTATTCAGAAAAGGCTTTAGTAACAGTATTTTACTAATTAACCCATAGCTGGGGAGAATCGTTCGATTCATCGCTTTCCCAATGGTATTTGCGGGTAAGTGAGTATAACGAATCGGGCTGGAATTGGAACTTGCCTCACCGATTAACAATTATTCATTGCAACACCCGCATATCCTAAGTTACAGCACCTTCTATTTCTAGCTGTCACCTGTATATTGACCAGGCTCGATTTTGATTAACTTAAGTAATGGTATGGAAACCTGTGTTTCAACGTGATCTGGCCGTAAGCTCCTCTATTTTGAGGACCAGAAGTCATTTTTAAATGCATTTTTTAATCCAACATTATTTCATATCGCTAAAAGCTTTATAGCACACTACTGATCTACTAAATCTAAGTTTGCACCAGGGATTGAACCCATAAATACTAAGCCTCTAAATTAACAAGTCAATATTTTAATCCACTAGATTATTGCCCCCACACCCGGGTTTAATCCTCAGACTAGAACTTAAAGCTTTAGATTCAATAAATCTGTTACTGACACGACTTCTTCATTAAACGAAGTTTCGCTTTTCTTGCTGCTGCTGCTGCTGCTGTTAAAGTCTAGCTTTTCACATCCTTTTAGTCATTTCACTCTAATCAAGGCAGTAAATATTTGGCCGTTTTCAGAGTGAGCGAAACAGGGGAGACAATAAAATAAATATCATTTAATTGTTGTATGATTGTCGTCGACAGCAAATCTTGAAGCCGAAAGTGAACTCCATAAGCGAGAATTTTGACTGACGGAATTGTTAACATAGAACTTACGGTTAGATACAAAAGGTTTAACTGTGAAATGATGGGACCTAGCCGCCAATCTAGTACTGCGCTTAATACTGCGTTAGTCACATGCGGTGTTTTGTTACCGCCAAATTTTTTTAATGTACTCGCAATTCCTAATAAACAACTTGTTTCTTTTGCTTCCTCCCACAAATCTCCTGGCTCGATGGCGAAGTGTAGCACGTGGTGTGGTGCAGCTGTGGCTCAATTTTCTTTCACTATCAATTTTCAGAAATCCCAGGTGACTAAC